GATATGATATCACTTTTGGATTTTTTTGTTTTTTTGTTTTTTTTTTTTTTTTTTCTGAACGGGGTTTGGTGTAGTGTATAGTCGTCAAGGATGGGATAGTTTAACTCCCTTATTGGGATTAAGTTGATTATATAGATGGTGAGGTGGTATCAAATTGGTTGGTATTGAGGTATCGCTTGTTCCAGACAGCTAGCTATCGCAAAAAAGAAGATGTTTGTCACTGAAGCATTACATGAACTGAATAAAGGTCAAGTCATTATGGCATACAGACAGAAACCACACCCTCGTTGCTCATTACCCCTAACCCTGTTTTCTTCGGATTTCCAATTGGAATTTTGGGTTGCTTACGCCTGCTCAGCAGGGGCAGCAGTACCCGCCGGCTGAGTAGCAGGTGCCGTGCTAGGGGCGGGAGCCTCACCACCCTCAGTAGTGGTCTTGCCGCTCTTCAAGTCCGCAAGTCGGCGAGCCTCGTTGTGGATATCCTGCACCTGCTTGTTGGTCTGGGAGTAAAAGTCCCGCAACTTCCTGCCAGAGGGAGTGTCGAGGGCCTTCTCGAAGTAGTGATTCAGATTACGCCAGCCAGTGGTCGCCTTGTCGCTGAGCTTGTAGTTCTCGTCCAGACCACGAGCACGGTCCGTGGCGTGGTACTTCTGGTCGAAGGTGGACAGAGCGCTGGTGAAGCGCGACGAGAACCCGTGCTTGTTGTCCAGGGCGATGGCCTTCTGGATGGCATTGTCGCTGAGGGTGTAGCCGTGGGCCAAGTACTCAGCTACAATACGAGAACGGGGCTTATCCTCCTGCTCGAGGTCGTGGTTGTGCTCGTCCTTGGCCTGTCCGGCGCTGGCGGCCTGGTCGCCGGCGATGTCGTCAAGGGTCTGAGCTGCCTTGACATGCACAAGGGAGGAACCAAGCTGGGTGTTGTCGAGGAGGAGAGCGGTCTTAGCAGCACTATTGCAGGGGGTATTTGGTTAGCTTTGATACTCTGGGAGGGAGAGGCAGTTGATGGTGTCATTTAGCGACAATGACGGGTAAGGTGCGGGGTAACTTACGCTTCCTTTTCGAAAGTGACGGTGGCCGACTTTTGGGCTTCAGCTTCGCCTGAAACGGGGGTAACAGAAATGTGGGTGATCTTTCCGCTGTAAGGTTGTCAGCTGTGCAGTTCCTGCAAGGGGTGGGTTTGAAATGCCTGCATTGCATACCAGAAGCTAAAGAAATCCTGGACCTCCTTGTCGGTGGTTGCGGGCGCAATGCCCTCGACGTGGACGGTGGAGCGTTCAGACATGATGTGTGAGGTGAGTTTTGGAAGAAGGTAGAGAGAGATAGATGTAGGTGGTATAGTATTGAGAGAGTAGAATTTTAAATCTGAAGAGAAAAGAGAGAAAGGAGGAAGAAGAGGAGAGCTGTTATTTAAGAAGACTGGATAATGTTTCGTGTTTAGGGGGCGGGCCTGGAGGCGCCACAGATGACGTCGCGAGGGGCAGCCAGTCTGGCGCACAGCCACAGTGGGCCACGGCCGCGTTGGCCATTCGAAGACAACATGTGAAAGTGGGAGGGAGAAGTGCAAAGTGAAACTGAAACATTCTTAGTGCTACCATCCTTGGACTATCATCTATCTAGATGGTACCAGTGTCTTCCCCCTATAGGTCCGCCCTGGCAGGCAGTAGCATTTCCCCAGAGGCCCAAAGCGTCTAATCGCAGAAGCAGAAGCAAAGCCGGAAAAAGAAAACCGAGATGTGCGCCCGAACAACCTAGAAGTAAATAAACAAATCTGACCCGAAAATGGCAAAGCAAAGCGAATAAAATAACGGCTGAAAGATCCTGCTTTCCGTAATTCATCCATAGCACCCAATCTATAGCCAAAGAAGCTTTTAGACATCTCTATCTCATTCCTTCGTCTCCGTACCGGATGGCTCTTTTGAGTCTGGGGTAGGTGTAGATAGGGAGTGGTCGTCTCTCAGATGAGACACATTCGACTCCTGTAAATGAAGCTTGGAGATGACAGACTCAAGGTCTCGGACACGTCGGCGTAGCATCTCGTTCTCGCGTTTGAGCGAATCGACTTCTCCACGCTGCTGCAAGACCTCTTCATGGCGGCTGGTAGAACTAATACTGGGCGTCTTCTGCTGGGACAGCGAGCTGCGGTGCGGATAGCTGCCCGCATGATGGGCTGGGTGGTCAGTCGGTTGTGTCTGATGATGAGATCCTGGCGTTGATGGCAACGCCCCTTCCGATTGCCGATGAGAGGTGAGCGATGATTCCCTGCTTCGGCCCGGTCGCGAGGGATCAGGACGGGTCGAAGGAAGATATGTCTCTCGCGCAGGAGCAATGCCGGAAACACTTCCCGCTCTCGAGCCTTGCACCGCTGGGATGTAGGAGGAGCTCAAGCTGGAGGATGAGCGGTGTCTTCGCGATGATGTGGGGTGCGCAGTGCTGATAACGTATGGCGCTGCATGGAGCCCATCTACCGAGTCGTTCAGGGTGGTGGATGTCGAGGAGGCTGTCGATGCGACCGAGTTCGTTTGTTGACGAAGGAGGGAAAGCTCTCGCGACAAGCGATTTACCTAGAGTAGGATAGTAAGCATAGACTCAATAAAGGAAGGATCCAGCGTGTCGTACCATTGCCTCCTGCTCTTGCTCGAGCATTGAATGGATATCGGAAGGAGTGAGCGGTTTGGGATGACGAAGTGGACCTTGAGCTAGTCAGTCAAGTTGCTCTCCAGCTTTCTTTGTCTGCATGGTCATTTGGCTTACCCGACGTAGACATGTTGTTTGTCTGGTCGCTGACGGTTGGAATTGCAGCTGTATGAGTGCTCGGTAGAGATGCAGCGACTGAAGGAGCCATGACTTGCGACGAGCGACGTGAGGATAATGTCGACGTGGTGGTCGGTTGCATTGTTGTGGCAGCTCGAGGTCGTAATCTGGGAGAAGAAAGAGAACCGGGGTTTAGTCCGGACGCCATATAAACTAATCTTTGGAAGGAAAATGCAGGATGACCAAGGGTTTTGACTGGTGGGATGGACGAATGGTAAAAGGTAGGACCCAAAGTAGTCCCTGAATTGATAGGTATAATCCGGCGGAGACAGTCGTCTTTCAGGTTAGTTTCATTAGTTTGTCGGTAGGAGGAAAGCAGCAGCAGCAGCAGCAGCAGCAGCAGCACTACCACTCACTCTTAACTTCTTACTACCGACAGACTAATATTAATTTTTGGCAAACCACCGATGAAGCACAGGCTGCAGCTCCCCCCCTTGATTGGACTGACTGGAATTTTAAAGCATACCAACCACTTGAGCCACCACTGAATTGTGCGCAAATTCTCCAGCTGAATGGAGCCGACATGCATGGAACCTATCATCCATCCTTTGCCAGTTCCTAGCTTTAGTTGCTTTGCTTCTCGCTCGACCGGATGGACCTGGGGCCGCTCCCCGGGAGTCCAGAGCTTAATTATCTGCCCGAGGGAGCTTTAACCAGTCTTTTGATTCTGAATGCACAGAACAGGGGGTGATTCAGCTGGACGATTGAAGTTTATATTTGGATTGGAGTTCCCGCCAATAGTCAAGGGAGGCGATGTTGGCGCAACGATCTTGGTCGTTGTCCCACCATCCATCGTTTCCCAGATTCTCTCATCATGGCACAGCAGGTCGTAATCTGAATCCATCTGACCGCATAATTATGTGCACACTAACGCTGTCTGTCTGCTATTTTCTTTTCCCGCTCTACCGCGCTATCCTACTCTAGTAAGCTCGGTCGAGATTGGCTCGGCATTCTTCCTCACATGCATGAGTTTCTACCTACTATGTACTAACTCGTCTATACATAGAGCTAAGGCGGAGTCCCCATCCTGAGGCTAGAGTGAGGCCCACTCTAAGGCACCGCTTGAGCTGCTCTGTCAGATTTCTCTCAACGCAGAATCATCAATGCGATGGATTCTTCTTTGCTGAATATATAGGCACACGACTCTAAGGTCTACTGACTGTATTAGTGCGCACTCATCAACATAATCCACTAAGCCCAGCCTGGGTTATGCAGAACTGCCAATCGTGGGCATGCACATCATACATGCCTGCCAAACGGTGCGCATATGATATACTCATGTGTACTGCGTACAGAGCATGTCTAATCACCAGTATGGTGGTAATGCCCATAAAGTCGACATCATCGTACTTGGTCGAGATCATATGCTGGAGTAATTGTTTCAAGTGGGACTCTTCCCCCATGCGTGCCCGGCCAATGCGCCAAAAGCGGCACCGCGTCGGGCCGAATCAACACTGTAAGGCGGATGCTCCAGTATCCGCGTCTCTGCAAAGACTAGCGCAATCCTACAAACACCGCGCCTACTAACACTCTGGTCTCACGGTCCTGTTCAATGACATGAGTCACGCGACACCCAACCCATATCACCTCAATCGCCAAGTCTATGAGGCCTTAGTCAGAAACCATCAAGATACTCTCTGGATCTGATAAGCCTTGATTATCTGCCTTGTTCTCGGAGAATTGACCCTGAGCCTTTTGAAATACCAGTGTCAACCCCGTGTCTTATGATCAGTACTTCACGAAGTAGTCATTGACTTGAAGCAGATTCCGCCAGAGTTGTCAGGGCCGCGAAAACAATACCAGAAAGCGCTGCGAGCGAATGTGCCTGCGAGGAAGAAACACCAGTTGGTTGTGGAGAACGCCACTATAAAACGAGAAGAGCAAACTAAAAGTGGAAGGATTATCGGTGGATTCGCTGTTGGGATTACAAGAATACCCTCGGACTCCGCAATCGTCGGCAGGATGCAAAGTCTAGACTATATTTCTCAACAGGAAACGACACGGATTGCATGGCAGCTGGTGGAAGGCGTATGTTATATACTCAGTCAAGACCTGAAGGATGCTTTATATAACCGGGAAGATGAATGAGAGAGAACACTATATCTGGGCGTCCAAGGCAGGATAAACCGGGTCACGGACCTAAATGTGGCGGATCCAACAGCCAGTCAAGGGTCCATGTGTTGAATTACATGGTCGAGTGGCTGTTGGGAGTTGATCTACTATCTACCCCCAACTACGTAGTTGCGAAAGCAAAGACATACATACTTAGCAACAGGTTGAGACTAACACATATAGGCTAAATTAATGTTGACACTACTGAATAGAGTTGAGTTGGAAGGCTCAGATGCCGATGACTCACGGCATAAGTGCTCCTTCTATCAAGGAACCATAGACGAACAGTGGAAAGCCTTTGGATGGGCAGGAGGTGTATTCCGGCGCGTGGAGACCCTCCGAAAGCCGGTGTTGGCCTGGTGAAATGGGATTGGCGCAGTAGCGAGCATTGCAGGCTGGGCGGACACTAGATAGGCATGGATCTGCTTGACGAACCATCAAAATTTCCTGGAAAATGAACAATGATGAACAGACGACGGAGTCATGATCTGCCTAGGAGAGCACTGGTGGTTCGTTCCCTGGCAGGGAGTTGTGAGTCAGACAAGCTTTGGCAGGGGGTTGTCTAATAGCAATTGAATAATGATTATCCTATAATAACGCTTTCCAGCTGGGATAGCAGCCCCTGGACAGCTGGGAAAAGACTGGGACGGGCTATCAAGTCAGTAAATTAGTGATCGGTATTGCTAACCGCCGGCTCCATTTCTGCCACTACTGCCGCTAGTCACCACTTAGTCACCACTTAGACTTGGCCCCGAACCTGTTAGCCTGCAGTTCCCCATGCCCTCCCATTGGCTAATGGTCCAGGCGGTGAGTGTCCGGGCCGGTCTCTTGGGGGAATCTGGAGTCCCAGCGATCCTGAGCGCCAACTGAAAGGGGAAAAGAGGGCAAAAAGGGCTCCGCACACCGGAGCTCTTATCGGCCCTCCCAAGGTTGGGGCATCTTTTTTTTTCAATGCAAAGTCGGAAGTCCCATTGAAACTCCTGGTCGGTCGGCAGCCCGCGCTCCATTTTGGCTGGTTCTTGGTCTCCAGAAAAAAAGTGCCGCATTGACTCATCGCCGTTTCCCGCACCTTTTCTTTACTTCTTCGTTTCCCGTCCCCTCTCCATCTTCTTTAGCCATTTCTTCCTTCACTCTAATCCTCTCCCAGAATCCAAAACAAGGTCCGCCTGGCCAATTCATCTCCCTTTAAGTCCTCCCCTTTGGTCGTGGGCGTGTGGCATAAAGTGGAATACACCAGGAACTCAATTGCTTGGCCTTTGCAGGGAAAATCAAAAATTCCCACAGAGCCGGACCAAAAGCGGAGTCTCCAGATCCTCCTCTCCGGAACTCTGCCAGGCCATAAAGTAGAGAGTGTGCATCCTCTCAATTGACTCATCTCGTTTATTTTCCCACCTCTCTCTCTTCCCTGACCTTTCAGCTACCAGCGCAGAGCGCAATGGTTCTCGCTACTCGTTGCGGGCAGGCTACGTCCGCCCTCCTGCGTCAGCGCTGTCTGGCAGAGTCTCGTCGCTCCACCCTCGCTTTGCGCCCCTTCTCCTCCCAGACCACCGCTCACTCGACGGCTTCGAGTCTCAGATTGGCCAAGGCCCCTTCTCCGTGGCGACCGCAGCAGCTGCGCTCTTTCTCTAGCGCCCTTCGTCGCTTGGCTTCCGAGACCTCCAACGCTCCCTCTGCTGACAGCTACCTCGCCAGTGGACTCGTCAAGCCTGGCAGCAAGTTGGTCGATGTCAAGAAGGTCCTCGTTATCGGTAGTGGTGGTCTGAGCATTGGTCAGGCCGGAGAGTTCGACTATTCCGGTAAGTTGGACGAGTCGCTGAACCTTGGCTTTCCCATCATGATCTCCCTGCTCCTTTCCCTGGTGTTTCGCGATCAATTGAGCGATGAGTACATGGGGTAAAGAAAGGAATTGGATCCAATTGGTCAAGGTAACATTGTGAGACAATTACTAACTCTAATCCTCTTTAATAGGTTCTCAGGCTCTCAAGGCCCTCAAGGAGGCCGGTGTCCAGTCCGTCTTGATCAACCCCAACATTGCGACGATTCAGACCGATCACAAGCTCGCGGATGAAGTGTACTACCTCCCCGTTACCCCCGAGTATGTCACCTATGTCATTGAGCGGGAGAGACCCGATGGTATCTTCCTCTCTTTCGGTGGTCAGACCGCCCTGAACTTGGGTGTGCAGATGAACCGCATGGGTATCTTCGAGCGCTACGGTGTCCGCGTTCTGGGAACCAGCATCAAGACCCTGGAGACCAGTGAGGACCGTGATCTTTTCTCCAAGGCCCTGAACGAGATCAACATCCCCATCGCCGAATCCATTGCGGTCAGCACCGTTGACGAGGCCCTGAAGGCTGCTGAGACCGTTGGATACCCCATCATCGTCCGTTCTGCCTACGCCCTGGGTGGTCTGGGATCCGGTTTCGCTGCCAACCCCGAGGAGCTGAAGAACTTGTCCTCTCGCTCCCTGACCCTTTCTCCCCAGATTCTGGTCGAGAAGTCTCTCCGTGGCTGGAAGGAAGTCGAGTATGAGGTTGTCCGCGATGCTGACAACAACTGCATCACTGTTTGCAACATGGAGAACTTCGACCCCCTTGGTATCCACACCGGTGACAGTATCGTCGTTGCTCCCAGTCAGACCCTGTCTGATGAGGAGTACCACATGCTCCGTACCGCTGCTATCAAGATTGTCCGTCACCTGGGTGTCGTTGGTGAATGTAACGTTCAGTACGCTCTGCAGCCCGATGGCCTGGACTACCGTGTCATTGAGGTCAACGCTCGTCTTTCTCGTTCCTCGGCTCTGGCCTCCAAGGCCACCGGTTACCCCCTGGCTTACACTGCTGCGAAGATTGGTCTGGGACACACCCTCCCCGAGCTTCCCAACGCGGTTACCAAGACCACTACTGCCAACTTCGAGCCCAGTCTGGACTACATCGTCACCAAGATCCCCCGGTGGGATCTGAGCAAGTTCCAGCATGTCAACCGCGACATTGGCAGTGCCATGAAGTCCGTCGGTGAAGTCATGGCCATCGGTCGTACCTTCGAGGAGTCTTTCCAGAAGGCTATCCGCCAGGTTGACCCCCGCTTCGTTGGCTTCCAGGGTGACCACTTCGAGAACCTCGACGAAGTCCTGAAGAACCCCACCGACCGCCGCTGGTTGGCTGTTGGCCAGGCTATGCTTCACGAGAACTACTCCGTTGACAAGGTTCACGAGCTGACCAAGATCGACAAGTGGTTCCTGTACAAGCTCCAGAACATCGTTGACTGCCACCACGAGCTCAAGGACATCGGCAGCCTCTTCGGTCTCCAGAAGGAGATCCTGCTGAAGGCCAAGAAGCTTGGTTTCTCTGACAAGCAGATCTCTCAGCTTGTTGGCGCCTCTGAGGACGACGTTCGCGCCCGCCGCAAGTCCTTCGGTATCAGGCCCTGGGTTAAGAAGATCGACACCCTCGCCGCCGAGTTCCCTGCCGACACTAACTACCTTTACACCACCTACAACGCTACCTCCCATGATGTCAGCTTCGATGACCACGGTGTCATCATTCTGGGAAGCGGTGTCTACCGTATTGGAAGCTCCGTTGAGTTTGACTGGTGTGCTGTCAACGCCACTCTTTCCCTGCGCGGCATGGGCAAGAAGACTGTTATGATCAACTACAACCCCGAGACCTACTCCACTGACTTCGATACCGCTGACAAGCTCTACTTCGAAGAACTCAGCTACGAGCGTGTCATGGATATCTACGAGCTCGAGAGCGCCAGCGGTGTTGTTGTCTCTGTCGGTGGTCAGCTTCCTCAGAACATTGCTCTCCGCCTCCAGGAGACTGGTGGTGCTCACGTTCTCGGAACTGACCCCAAGGACATTGACCGTGCTGAGGACCGTCACAAGTTCTCTCAGATTCTGGACAGCATTGGTGTTGACCAGCCCGCCTGGAAGGAGCTTACCTCCGTCGCTGAGGCTGAGCGCTTCGCTGAGACTGTTGGCTACCCTGTCCTGGTTCGTCCCAGTTACGTCCTGTCTGGTGCTGCCATGAACGTCATCTACAGCGTCGATGAGCTCAAGGAGAAGCTCCTCAACGCTAGCGCCGTCTCCCCCGACCACCCCGTTGTCATCACCAAGTTCATCGAGGGTGCCCAGGAGATCGACGTTGACGCTGTCGCTTCCAACGGCAAGCTTCTGCTCCACGCCGTCAGTGAGCACGTTGAGCCTGCTGGTGTTCACTCCGGTGATGCCACCCTCGTCCTCCCCCCCGCCAACCTGGAGGAGTCTGTCATGAACCGCGTTAAGGACATTGCCGAGAAGGTCGCCAAGGCCTGGAACATCACCGGTCCCTTCAACATGCAGATCATCAAGGCTGATCTGGAGGGTGCTGAGCCTGAGCTGAAGGTCATTGAGTGCAACCTTCGTGCCTCCCGCTCCTTCCCCTTCGTCAGCAAGGTCCTGGGTACCAACTTCATCGATGTTGCTACCAAGGCTCTGGTTGGCCGTGACGTCCCTGAGCCTGTTGACCTCATGAAGGTCAAGCGCGACTACCTCGCTACCAAGGTTCCCCAGTTCAGCTGGACCCGTCTTGCTGGTGCCGATCCTTTCCTCGGTGTCGAGATGGCCAGTACTGGTGAGATTGCTTGCTTCGGTAAGGATGTCGTTGAGGCCTACTGGGCTTCCCTGCAGGCTACCATGAACTTCCGTTGCCCTGAGGCTGGTGAGGGTATCCTGCTCGGCGGTGATATCACCAACCCTGCCCTGGCCCAGATTGTCGAGTACCTCAAGCCCCTCGACTTCCAGTTCTTCGCTGCTAGCCCCGCTGTCAAGGAGCACCTTGAGGCTGCTACCAAGGTTCCCGTGCAGGTCATTGAGTTCCCCAAGCAGGACAAGCGTGCTCTGCGTGAAGTCTTCCAGAAGTACAACATCCGTGGTACTTTCAACCTTGCCAAGACCCGTGGCAAGTCCCTCCTCGATGAGGACTATGTCATGAGACGTAACGCCGTTGACTTCGGCGTTCCTCTCTTCATGGAGACCAAGGTATGCAACCCGTTCCTCTTCCTTCTCCACTTGCTTTGATGCTAACTGTTCCTTCTAGACTGCCCTCCTCTTCGCCCAGGCCATGAGCGAGAAGCTGCCCCGTCCCGATGGCATTCCTTCCGAGGTCCGCACCTGGTCCGACTTCACCGGCGGCAAGCTGCTGTAAACGCCAAGTTTACCCACCAAAAGGACGAAAAGTTTGATTTCATAGATATAATCACGGTTTTGTGTTCGTTCATCTTTCCAGGCACAGAAAAGCCGCCGTGTTTGGCGTAGCGGATAAGGCTTCATGTTGATAGATATGTTTACTCCGTCTCTAAAAAAGGCGATATGAGGAATACGGTCATGCGCTCTGTGATTATCTTTTTCTGGTTTGTTGGCCTTGTGGATGATTCCTTCTGTTGCCTTCTGCTTCGCAGTCTATAGGTTTGTAGGCCGGCTTTGTGCTTGAGCGAAAGGTCAATTATTCTTGATTCTAGTTGTATGTAGTATAGCCTGTCAATTATATCCAATTTCGATTTCTGATATAATCTTGACCAATTCCGTGCTTCGTAGTTGTAGCAGCTGTATTATGATGTGATTATCATAGATTAACACTATAATCTACTGCTCTTTGCCATCATGATTGAGAGGAGTAATCCACCAAAGTTGGCCTGCGAGGTGGTTGACTCAGCCACACAAGTAGAGGAAACCCCGGTCTCTGGCGTCAGACAACCTTGAGCTTGACATAGTATGCGTACCCTATGTTAGCATCATACTACTTCAATTTCCGTCTTATTACGTTTTGAACAGCAACGTGCCACAGTTTAATTGTATAGAAGAATATCCTCGAGTAGAAACATTTTTCCATTCCGAGCTCGTCCACGCCAAGCTTAGACGAAAAGGGAAATAATTCTATAACTTCAATGATATACAACTACAGGACCCTACCAACTACTGATCCTGCCTTGAGCAATCCAACCAATACTCCAGACTAGTACATGGAAACCCACAAGATCCAATGAACACAAAAACCACACCCCAGCCCGCCCCAGGTGGCCTAGGACGAGGCCTCTTCGCCTCGACAGACATTGCCGTTGGCGAAGACGTGCTACACATCCCCGTTCCATTCGTGGCAGTCCTAGACACAGAGCACCTAGGAGAAGTATGTTCCGGCTGCTTTGGTCAAAGACAGCTCGAAGAGGAAGGGATTGCTTTAAAAGGGTGCAGAGGATGTGGTGTTGTGAAGTACTGTGATAAGGTCCGAAAAACTGCCCTCCGCACTCTCAGAACACCATCACTAACTCTTCTCGCAGACATGTCAAGCAAAAGACTGGAAACTGGGCCACTCTTTCGAATGTACCATCTATCAGAAACTGAAGCCTCGTATTCTACCTATCAACGCACGAGCCGTGCTCCGCATGGTCTTGCGCAGCGAACGCCAAAAGTACTCCGACGAGGAGCTGGATCAGTTCCTACAGCTTGAGACACATATTAAGGATATCCGTGACAAAAGTCCCTCTCAATGGGAGCGTATATCCCTTTCCTCGAAGGCGATCAAGGCCTACTCTGGTACGGAGATGAGTGAAGAGGTCATATCTGCTATGGGAGCTAAGGTACGTACATACATACATACACCCACACACAACGTTATACATATACATACCCTTTTGAACACACAACTCATATATTCTTCAGCTCGACCTCAACTCCTTCAATCTCACCAACGCCGTCTACGACCGCCTCGGCGTCTACCTCCACCCCTACGCCGCCATCTTCAACCACAGCTGCGACCACAACGCCGCCGTCAGTTTCGACGGTCCCAATCTACACATCAAAGCCATCCGACCCATTCAAAAGGACGAGCAAATCTTCATCACTTACATAGACGTAACAGACCCCTATCCAATTCGCCAACATAACCTCCAATCCCGATACTACTTCACCTGCCACTGCTCGAAATGTACCTCAGAAGCAGCTTCGCCAACAGCAACGACCCTACATCCAGCACAGCAAGAAGCCTACGACATCATCCAATCTCTATCTACTTTAGAGGAGAACCCCACCCAATCCATCCTTAAAGCGCTCACCACCCTCCGAACCACCTCCATCCCCGCAACAACCCAACCCTCCATCTCCCTCCTCGACGAGCTCATCACGTCCCTCCTCGCCCAACAGAAATACAAATCGGCCTTCGCTTACGCCGCGGCCCGATACCGTGTCGTCGATCCCGTGGTGTACCCGCTCAAGGGCCATCCCATTCGGTTGTTGCATGCGTGGGTGTTGGCTAGGTTGGCGATTCATTTGTCGCAGGGCGTTGAAGTGGAATCTACTGCTGCTGCTGCTGCTGCTGCTGCTGCTGGTGAGGAGGTTGCGTTAGAGAAGTACGAGGTGAATTTTAATCTGATTATTTGGTCGGTGTTGGCGGCGTTGGTTGGGATGGAAGGCACCGGGGGAACAGGGCCTGGGTTTTGGAGGTTGGTGAAGAGGGAGTTTCGGGCTGTGAGGGGCGAGTTTGTTGCTGCGGGGTGGGATCCGAGGGGTTCGAGGGAGTTGGAGAGGGAGATTGGGAGGGAGTGGGGGAAGGTGGATAAGGTAGTTAGGGAGTTGGGGTTTAGTATATAATTAATAGTAGTGTAACGGTCGATGTTGAAGGGGATGATGGGATATGTCTACATGAGTACCTTAACGAGTGAAACTGATGAAAAGTTGAAATCGTTAAAATTAGACTGGACTGCCGAAGAGACAGCAAAGCCTACTTAGCCTCTGCGCTCTCGCCCCCTCTCCCAACTCCAGGGCTTGGATCGTAAAAAAGCCATTTAGGAAGGATCCGGTTGGGTTTCTTTCTTTGTTTTTTGTTATCTTTTTTCGTTCTCATGATTGCCGACAAGACCTTTATATTGAGATGCAAACAGCTGACCCGCACTTGGACATACAAGGTAAGAAGATGAGAACCCAAAGAAATGCCATATGGGTATCCATCCAGTTTTGAATTCTTTTTTTCCTTTATCCGTAGATCCTCCCAGCAACATTCCGTACGCCCGAGTTCCTCCTCCACACGACGAGACACTCCATCCAATAAAGCTTTTCTTCTTTACTTGAGGGGAATGAAACGGGAAGAGTGGGTGGCACCGATACCGGGACGACCGTGCTTGACGGGCTTGCTGTGTGGTTGTTAGACATACCCATATGCAACTGTTTATATCGGGGATAAAATGTGGTATACGTACTAGGAGATAGAGAATTCACCCAGGTAGTGGCCAACCATCTCGGGCTTGACTTCGATCTGGTTGAACTCCTTACCGGAGTAGATACCGATGACGCTGCCGATCATCTCGGGGACAACGATCATGTCACGGAGGTGGGTCTTGACGAGGTCGGGCTTCTCGTTGGGGCGAGCCTCCTGCTTGGCCTTGCGGAGCTTCTTGATGAGACCCATAGGCTTGCGCTTCAGACCGCGGTTGAAGCGACGACGAGCGCGGGCGTGAACGACATCACGGAGCTGTTCGGAGGAGAGGTCGAGGAGCCTGCGCAGATATACAGGTCAGATTTCCATTCCATATCATCTTATTTCGGTTCTTTCGATAGTGTGATATATTGCTTCCTTCGGCCGTCGACTCCAACGAGGATATTCCGCAAATATCCATAAATGTCCATATTGCTGAAATCGCTCGTTCGGAGTCGAGACCGTCGGATCGAAGTGCAGTGTGGGTATGATGGATGTTCATGGTGTAACGTACTGGTCGAGGTCAATTCCGCGGTAGGTGAACTTGCGGAACTGTCTTCTCTTCTTGATCTCTGTATCCCGGATACGTCAGCGCCTTATATCCCCTTCACTTCATTGCTGCGTGGTGCTCGTAGTTGGTGTGCGGGTAAAAAGCAAGAATAGAAACGTCGACAGAGAATTCGGTCCGTTGCCCCCCCCATCCCTTCGTGAAAACTTCCAGTGTCGCATCATCGAAACATATCCATATTATATCGCAGATCCAACCAAATAACGTATCCCACAACGCGAATTCGTCTCTGTTTCCGGGGTCCAGGATAGGGAAAGGTGATTCAGGTGAAAAGTTCAAACGTACCGGCAGCCTCCTCGGCGTTCTATAGGCAAGATAACGTTAGTTCAAACTCTTCCTAGTCCTCTTTGACATGTATTCTGATATCGGAAAACTCACGTAGTGCTCGTCAGCCATTTTTGCGGTGTTCCTCTCAAGGTCGCTTTCCGAACGGGTCTCGAAAAGCGAAAGGACGATGGGTTGTCGTGTCGTGTCGCTGATGAACGTACGTCGGGCGTCTCTTGTGCCTCTGCGCTGGGTTGGGAGGTGGGCTGGAGCCTCGTCTAAGCGACCCGTCTAGGGTTGCGACCCTACTACACTAGGCCGCTTTGGGAACCCATCTATAGGGCCGCCGGTCCAGCTGCCCTAAAGATTTGTATGGGGTATCTATGGACTATCAATGGATTAATTATCGATTGGGCTTGAAATCGTGGTTCTGTCGGAGCTTATTGGCTTGTTGTAATGATTTCAATGGTCTCTTCTATAAATTTCGACCAGCACTTACCGTTTTTGGTAGTAGTATTAAAAAGCGTATCTAGTAGTTACAGAGAAACCCGCGCAAAGAATCCCATACTACGTACGTTCTACGAAATGTAATGTCACTCAATCAATCGGGAGGTCAGAGAATCTGTATTGGCTAAAGCTCTTTCCAGCTCACGCATGCATAATTCGTAACTGCATCAGAAAAGCCTGGCAAACACCGGCTTGACTGGACCAATGGGTAATTTTCCTCCCTAGACTGAAAATAACCGCCAGATTTCTGTTCCCCCACGAACTGTTACGTTTTTCTCGGTGTTCGGAGTGAAGGCGCTTAGTCGAAGAGACCGAAGCCCATGTCCTCATCGGACTCCTCAGCGGCCTCCTCCTTCTTCTCCTCAGCGGGAGCCTCAGCAGCGGCGCCACCGGCAGCGGGGGCAGCAGCAGCGGCAGCGGCACCACCGGAGGGAACGGAAGCGAGCTTCTGGGTACCCTCGGAGATGAGCTGTTGTAGTAGAAAAATCATCGTCAGTATTCCATCTCGTAAATCGCAATTCTTGGTAAAATTCATATGGGCGTTAACTAACCTCCTGGAGGTCCTTGCCCTCGAGCTCAGCAAGGAGCTTCTGGAGGCGCTCCTCCTCAGCGTCGATGCCGACGGCGGAGAGGACGGACTTGATGTCCTCAGCGGAGGGGGTGTTGTTGCCAGCAAGGGCCAACAGAAGGTAGGCAGCGAGGTACTTCATTTTGAATCTGCACAATAACCTGTCAGAACAACTGCGCCGGGAATATCGTGGTCGTACTGTCGAAACTTCGCAACGAAGCAATCAAGAGGGCAACGTACAGTTGTGGTGGTGAACACGAGAATCAATCGATTTAACCGCAAAGTTGGGCGGAGACTGACACGTCGAGTTCGCTGGGGGTTGAGCGATGTGATGGACGGAAAAAGAGAGAAATGGAATCCGAAGTTGAAAATCAAGAAAAGTGCGATGCGGCTGGTGGGTTGTGGCTAGTGCAGATCGTGCTAGTTCCGGCTAAGCGAGCGGGCGTGGCGCATGCGGTAACTCCCATGCCTTGGGCCCCGGTCACGTGGGGTCGCTGCTTCTAGAAGACAGGATGGCGACTTCTTGCACCGTTTTTGCCCGGCGGCTTTATCTGGTCGACCTCGTTGTATCCAGCTATCGCTTTGTTGGCATCGGCTTTGGGCCTTAATTCACGTCGTGCTTTATGCCTGGCACTAAGACGTGAATTTGGCTTATCTCTAATCTGAAAACGATCGATTTTTAGTGGTTCCGCAACAAGTCATGAAGGTACCCCGTCATACTAACCACCGACGGTGAAACTACCCCCCTTCGTGACTACTCATATTCGATAGCTTTTGGCGCTTTCTTTGCCTACTAGGTGACAAAATGAGTGTAAGGACTCTATGGATGGCTGCTGTTTGATGGCTTTTGCTGATCATACGACAGTTTCTCGATTCCGTTCTTTCGTCTATCGAGACGGGTAAACCGTCTCCAATCCCCCCCACCTCTGCCTCACCGTCGCCTCCTGTAACCTCTTCAAATGCTAAGACCGAGGTCCGCAAACCGGTTAACGTCTCTCGAGATGGCGCTTCAGAGCGCAAACCTCTGGTTTCTGGAATCAAGCGAAAGGCCGAGGAGCAGCTAGCTCGTCCTGCAAAATCTGTTACTCCAGCACCTACCAGGGCAGCAGCAACATCATCAACAACCAATACCACTGCCACGGCGAAGTCTACCGTATCTACAGCTCCTAGACCTCGTCCGAGCGCGCCTTCTACAACAGCGACCACTGCAGTCAAGAGCCGCTCTTCAACCCCCCAGCAGAAGGCGCCTCCAGTGTCATCGAAGCCTCCCCCTAAAGGCTCCTTTGCGGATCTCATGGCCAAGGCTAAAGCACTACAAGAGAAGGCCCCGACTCAAGTTGGCATGTTCAAACACCAATCTGCCCCCAAGGAGAAGCTCAGCAAAGTCGAACGCAAGAAGAAGGCAGTGGAGGCGCAGACCAAGGACAAAGATGTGCGGTCGGCCAAGAAGGCAGGCGTTACTGCTGGTGGAGCTGCAGGCACGAAATCCGGTGACGGCAAGGTCGTCAGGAAGAGGGAACCCGAGCCATTATCCTACAAAGGAACCGCAAGACCGCCTCCGTCTACAGGCCAGCCCGAATACCGAGGAACCGCCGGTCTGCCACCACGCAAAACACTTGGCGACCGGAAAGCACAGTCTCGTTCCAAGCCTCGGATGGATGAATACCTGGGGACTGATGAGGAAGACGAGGGTGATTATGCCGATGACTACGACGACTACTATTCAGAATCCTCCGATATGGAGGCGGGCTTGTACGATGTGGAGGAAGAGGAGGCTGCTGCACTGGCGGCCGCCCGACGAGAAGATGAGGAGGAATGGCGCGCAGAGCTTGCCGCCAAGCAGCAGAAACTGGAGCGTCGCAAGAAGCTCGCTTCGTTGGCATCGCGACGATAAGAAGAAGTCTTTTGCTTCCACGATACACCTACCTAATCAAGCTTTTGCTAGCCCTGCAAGCCGACTTACCCGGACTTCCACAATTTTCTTGGATTTTCCCTTCTGTTTTCATTGTTTTCTTGTTTGGATACGGAGCATCAGCGAGGAATACCCCGAGGGTGCGTTACATACGACGTTACTGGTCTTCTTTGTTTTCATTTGTTCATTTCTGTACCAATTTTGGATGAGCATCAGCGAGCGTCAAGGTGTCGATAGATGGAGGGCGATTATCTTCATTTTCACTTCACATATTAACATTGCTAGTTACATACAATAGCGGGCGTGTCTGTTACTGTCACTGTTCTCGTGGTAGCATTGAATGCGATTGGATAGCTGCATATATTGACCACTCTCATCGTCATTGCTGGTAATATGATTAATATATAGTAAGGATTGAGCAAAGCAATCAAGACCGGATTCTTATCGAGAAATGACCCCATCTGCCCCACCCGTAGGCGGTGACATCACTCTTCCTTCTGCTGCTACAGCTGCTGCTGCTTCTTCTTCTCTCTACTTACTATTTCTCTCTCCAATTGCTGCGCAGTCGATCTGCTCTTTATTATAGAACGCATAGTATACCATTCTACAGTTACAGATTCAGCATACTGATCGATCGCTATTTCGCTCGCCATCATGGAGTCGTCGGTTCATCACATTACAACCTCGTCCAAGGTTTTGCTGAAGAAGGCGCGCAATCTGGTGCCTCCGATGCTTGAGAAATTCCACAAAGGTAGGCTTTGACATTACAGTTTCAGTGTTTCACTTTACGAATTTTCTTCTGACAGATCGAAGGACAACAGGGACGTGTTGCTGTCATCGGAGGAAGTATAGAGTATGTTCACCCCGCTCCTCTTCATGCGAACGGAATGTGAACGTGTCCAAGTTACACAGGGGCTCCCTACTTCTCTTCAATGGCGTCGGCTAGACTGGGTAAGATACTTATTCACTGCTAGTATAGCTGGCTTCTAGCTGACATGGCATTGCAGGATGCGATATGGTAGGCTGTTCACCAGAACGTTAGCCGCTGTATACACTTCTGACAGATCACAGAGTCACGTAATTTGTGACAAGTCTGCTGCAGTTGTAAGTTTGCAGTCTGCTAGACTCAAGCACGTCTGTTGTCATTGACTGGGGCTAGGTCATCAAAACTTATTCTCCGAACCTTATGGTTCACCCGATACTGCCAAGCAGCGACAACGTCAAAGATCCCGAGTCTATTGACGCCCCGTCACTCGCTAGTCCCATCATCTCCATGCTTTCCCGTCTCCATTGCCTAGTTATTGGACCAGGTCTAGGTCGCGACGGAGTTACGCTCAAGGTGGTCACGGAGGTGATGAAGGAAGCCCGGTCCCGATCGATACCGTTTGTTTTGGATGCGGACGGTCTGCTCCTTGTCACGGAGGACCCGGATCTAGTGAAGGGCTATAAGGAGTGTATTCTTACTCCCAATGTAAATGAGTTCAGTCGCCTGGCGAAAGCCCTGGGCATTGACGTCCCCAGCCAGGCCGAGATTGGCTCTAAGCCTGGTGGCGGCGACAAGACTAGCGAGGAGACTAGGGCTTGTGAACAGCTTTCTCAGGCTCTGGGTGGTGTTACTATCATTCAGAAGGGTCCTCATGATATTATTTCGAATGGTGTCACCAGCATTGTCTCCGACATTCAGGGCGGGCTGAAGCGGAGTGGTGGACAGGGAGATACGCTTACTGGCTCGCTGGGCACACTCTTGGCCTGGAGGGCGGCTTACCATAACGGACTCTGGGATTCGGGAGAGCAGGACAACAAGAAGGAGGCTGAGACCAAGCAAGATGTTCAGGCGGAGCTGGAGTCCGAGAATAAGAGGATGTCCCCTACCACGACATTGCTTCTTGCGGCGTTCGCGGGAAGCAGTATCACGAGGGAGTGCTCTCGTCGTGCCTTTTTGGCCAAGGGACGGAGCATGCAGGCTAGCGATCTCACCGATGAGGTCCATGAAAGCTTCCTGCAGCTGATTGGGGAACCAGAGGCGTCGAAAATGCGCTTGTAGGGTTTATTTACGAAGTGATCGGACTGTTCGTGTCGAGATGTATAGGAATGACATAATGAAATGTTATTTATAGCTTTAAAGTATATCTGGGTAGCGGAAGTTCTTTGTCTATATACATACCGCACACTTTTACTATCTCTGCTATCGCACTGGACCCGTGACTTCTTTTCTCCAAGGTTGATCCAGTATTGAATGCGAGTGCATTCTGCAACACCGGTCACCAAGTAATAGCACCAGGAGTTGCTTCGGCAATAGCGATGGCACTAAGCCTACTAGACGAGCACCAGGTGAAATTGTCCGATCGAACAGTCACATCTATGCCGCTCAAGCTCTGGTAGACATTAGAACGTATTTTTTGCCTTATGTTCGGATGTCACGAGATAGAATAAATGTATATGTGACACTCTACTAACTTACGTAGTTCGACTCCCATTGATACTAAGCGTTCAATAGTCAACTTAACCCAACTGAAACATCACAGCCTCCACCAAACGGACATTTAAACCATATTGACCTTACTCACCTGACCGTGAGCGATATCAAAGCGAAAAGAATGAGACCCTTTCAACTTAGCATAAATCATCTCCCAAATATCTCTGACCCATCTGTAGTGATGGAGTCTATACTTCTAACCTTGCTAAAGAAAGCAACAATCGCCTCCCGTCAATGCTGGATCCGCAGGGCTGCCTCGTATTCGCCCTCCACCACCGGCACAGCCCATATAACAGGGAGCTTAATGGTCTATTTCCGATGTCCTGGTATGTCTCAGAGGAACCACACCATCACCACCTACTGAGCTAATCATGGATGTTATTCCTCATGACGTCGTAGTCGCGATAGTTAGATTACCAGCCACCATGTTTTCCGTCCTTCGGCAACGAGGAACCCCAGATGATGTGGTCAGATCTATACGAAGTAGTAGACTTGATTGAATTACTCTATTTCAAGTTTTAGTCCATACTAAACTATACATCTACCTTCTTCCAGATAGTTAGGTAGATAACTAGAAGATGGATATAAGATCCCTCCAACCCATCCCCTTTTCCTAATCCTCATCCTCACCATCATAACCACAGTTACAACCTCATTGGATTATCCACATCTCAACATGTACTTCTCAACCACCTTCACCTTCCTCCTAGCCACCACCACCACCACTTTAACCCTCGCCTCCCCCAACCCAGCTGCAGCTCCAGCTCCCCAAGCTGCATCCCCAGCATCCCCCCCAACATGCGGAACCTGCAACCCCCTCTCAGGCGAGAACCACTGCGACGTGACAACCTCATGCATCAACACCGGCACGCGCTTCCACTGCGCCTGTCGTGCGGGATACAAAGCCTCCCGCCAGAATAACGACATCACGAAACAATTCCGCTTGAATGTCCCCGGCTATCAGTTTCTGGTCTTCACGCCTGAATATACCCAGTGTGATACGCTGTGCGATAATCCGTATGGAGCGAGTGCGCAGTTGTGTTCTGAGGTGCCGATTTATGGACAGTGTGGGGTTTGAGATTTTGAATTCAGTTTGGAGGAGGTGGAAGGTTTGAGTGGAAAGGGGGACGGAGTGATAGTTGGGGGGTTTGGGGAGGAAGGGATTTGGTTGATCTTGATCTGTCAGTGGAGAGTTGTTTGGAAGATTACTACGCTCCTTTACTAGTTATATATATTATGCACGTTGTACTGCTTGATTATTCAATGCCATTTATTTAGTTGTGATGATATCAAGAAATAAACACCAAACACCGGTCCGGGTTCTACCCTCCCACAGGAATCTCACATGACCTCGTGCACGTCTCTCTGATGAATATAAGTAGTTCAAAAATAATCGATGAAAAATAGCAGAAATGTATGACTGCAGACTCGTGCTAAATTAAGTAATAGCCGTTTACATGTCCATAGCATCAACAAAGACGAGACGGGTACCGCCGCCCAGAACTTGCCAGACCTATAAGATAGAATGATTAGCAGATGCTCATATAGACGTAGTATACAGCAGCTGAACTTACGTTGTTTTGCTCATACTCGTCAATCGTCACGTTGAGCTGGTCCTCCGTGAAACCCTTGGCAAGTACTCTCTCCCGGATTCTCCTCATGCTCAATTCGCTTCCGTCTCCATCGCCCACAGCCGCAGCACCACTCTCCATCATGCTGCGGATGAGGTAGTAGATCTTGCTGGTAGGGCTCTGGTCCAAGCTTGACTGGCCGTCGTTGGCCAGCGAAGCCTTGCTGACCTCGACCAGGCGCAAGGCCTCATCGACATCCTCGGTGACAACTTCGTTGCTGAATCGGAGACGCGCCAGGGCCTGCGACAGACGAACAACACCGAGAAGCGTACGGGGCGTCACATGGGAGAACTGCTTCTTCTCTGCCTCGTCCTTCTTCTGCTGCTTCCTCATTCTTACATAGGCTCCGACCATGTAATCGGACACAGCGGAGGGAACAACAGGACGGTAGGTACGCGCCCTAGCAATGTACTGGCGGACTTCCTGAGGCGTGAACATAACGCCGGCATCCTCGTGCTCAGGGTGCTTGTTGTGCATGTGGACATAGGTGACGTGGCTAGCCAGCTCCTCATCTGCTTCGCGCGAAGGGGTATCGAGAATAAGGAACATGACATCGAAACGCGAAAGGAGAGCCGCGGGAAGGTTGATGTTCTCGACTGGAGAGACTCGGGGGTTGTAACGGCCGTAAAGCGGGTTGGCTGCTGCCAGGATCGAGGTACGAGCGTTGAGGGTGGTCGTGATTCCCGCCTTGGAGATGGAAATGGTCTGCTGTTCCATCACTTCGTGAATTGCCGTACGATCCGAGTCATCCATCTTATCGAATTCATCGATACAGCAGATACCGTTGTCTGCCAGGACCAGGGCACCTCCCTCCAGGACCATCTCATCCGTCACCGGGTCCCGCATAACAGCCGCAGTAAGACCAACACCACTGCTTCCTCGACCGGTGGTGTACACACCACGAGGGGCAACCTTGGCAATATACTTCAACAGCTGGGACTTGGCAACACCAGGGTCACCCATGAGGCAGATGTTGATGTCACCACGAATGTGCAGGCCGTCGCCCATCTCTTTCGTGACACCACCAATCAGGAGCAAAAGCAGTGCCTTCTTCACATCTAGGTGTCCGTAGATTTCAGGGGCAATTGATCGCGACAAGTACTCGTACATATTTCCGGACTTCTGGTACTGGTCGATCTTGCGGAGAGTTCGGCTGTCCATGGCCGTGTCGTTGTATGACTTCTTGTGCTGCGTGATATGCTGGGCTTCCATGTAAGTATCAGTCAGCAAGCCCGCACGGATGGCTCTGAAACCGGTGTAAGGCGTGGGGAGGAAGATTCCTGCGATGTCAACAACATCTCCCGGGTTGAGCTGGCGTGTGAGACTTCCATGGCAGTGGATA